AAGGCTTAAGGGATAGCTAGTCTACACAGAAGAGGTGGAAGCTTTCCAATAACCCTTAATTAAATAGAGTGCTGAACGACATTTAAAAAAGCTGATTTCAGCTAAATCCACATACTGATACCTGCCCTGGCATTGCTCAATGCAAATGAAAGCATTAAGAAAATTAAAGAACGCTTGCAGGGAACAGTAGAGGACTACCCCTAGTCTGCCTCAATACACAAATACACTTAGCTGGTGTTTGCAATAAATCAGGGACACAACGTTTCCATAAGGTTTAGTTTTCACTTACTCCTCTATTAGGTCACATCAGCCTTAAAATAGCCATTGTTTATGCATTACATCCTGCAGCACAGTAAATTGTCACAGCCTGCTGTATCTCAGACCTCAGATGAACCCCTGACAAGGCCAGAGAAACAGCATCAGTTCAGTTTTAATGAGAGAAATGTGCATGGAAACTCTCAGTGCAGTTGCTTCCATCAGAAATGAGCTTTCTTTGACTCACAGACCAACAGCACCCACAACAAAGCATGTTATATAGGGCTGTACTAAGGTCAATTAGAGGTGAAGATAAAAATCTACACATTGCATTCTAATATTCTTTCCAACGAAGGGAATTGATTTGAGAAAGCCTAAAGTGCTTTCATCCCTTTTGTCCATGTGCCTTCCCAGTTCCACGTGCCCCTGTAATATCTGATGTTCCAAGGAGACAGGCAGATAAAGAGCCTTCTAAAAATCCACATTGTTTTCATTCTTTGGCTCCATGCCCTGATACTGAAGCCTTCCATACCTCTTGGGGATGACAAAAGACTGAGATATTTAGCTCGAGGCACCAGTGAAGCGTGGGGATGGTGCTTTCATTCCCAGGTGAGCTCATGGACACACAAGTAATTCCCATATTTTCCTCTGGGGTTATCATTGTTTACTTGTCATGTTATCACAATACTTAGAAAGCTTTATGAGTGTATTTACAGAGGAGACAACCATTAATAAGAGGCCTCCAGGGCTCTCCCTTGGAAAACAAGTCACCAAAGAACCCAGCAAGTGTTTCTGCCTGTCAGCAGGACTAGGATTTTATGGACTCTGTTCATCACCTCCAGGAGTCCACCCAAGAGCCAGGCTCATGGCAAACAAATCCCTAACCTGCCTAGAGGCACCACAGCTTGAAGTGCCATATTGCTCTCATAAACTAGCCATGGACAACTGTATTTCTGCCTGTGGATCCTGAAAGCAATGCCTACGGGCTGAGAATTCAGCGTGAAGAAAGGAGTGTCTCACACAGATTATCAGCAGCTGCACATGAGGCACTCACTTGAAATTCCCCCATAATTGTAAAGGGCCCCATGAGAAGAACAAATAAGCCCTGCCATGTTTCTTAATCCTGCTACACTAGTTATACAGAGGAATGTTCACTCCTAATGATGACACACAAGCTGCTGTAAGCTTTTCTGCAGCAACACCACTGCTTATATCAGCTATTATCCAGTTATTCCATCTTAACAGAGAAGAATCATTTTTGTGCTTTTCATTCTTCCTCCCAGAGGGCAATAGATGTAATAACTTATTCCCTGTCTGGCACATTAGGGCTTGAAAAATTAATGCAGCGCTGCTGAGATTTCCACTTTCTGCTTTACTTAGCGTGCCAAAGCTTTGAATTTTGGTGAAAAAATATTAAGTAATAAAAAGCTTACTTTAAGTTTGTTAATGTACTTGTCTGCTTTAATGCCTTTCCAAAGTTTCCACAAAATAAGTAGTCCACTGACTAATCTTCCCAAATTTCTTTTGCCCTTAAGCTATTATCACAAAGAATCACTTAGACTGGAAATGACCTCCAACACCATCAAGTCCAGCCTTTGACCAATCACCACCTTGTCAACCAGACCATGGCATTAAGTGAATGTCCAGACATTTCTAGAACATGTAATTATGCTGTCATATAATTGAAACCTCTCTTGTTAGACAATTATGACATGGCAACTAAAATTTAAACACCATTATCAACTGTACTGGGTTAAAACCCAATCCATTAAGAAAACCAGTCAGTCACGTGTTGCTCTGTACATGCAGTGTATGCTTTATGCCTATCCACTCCTTCAAAAATATTCTCCTGTTACAGGAATTCTGTCAAAGAAAGTAGTGGTTCAAACCAAATTTCACTTGTGTGTTATTGCTTCTGCTCAAGCTGCTCCTTCAGAAGCAGAATGAGTGTTGGAATCCGAAATGCAGGGAACTCATAACACTGAGCCTGTAAGCCAAAGCTTAGAATTAAACACCGGATTTGATCTGAGACCTTGGAAAGGGCTTCCAAACTTAGGTGCTAAAAATGAGAATGTGGATTTATAGTTTAAAGCAGAGACACATTAAGGTCAGTAGAAGAAAGTTTGGAGTTTTAGAGTACAGTCTGTAGGTCTGTATGTCATAAAATGATTGGCTAAGAAAGTTTAAACTGTAGCATGAGTCCATAAGACAAAATATTTAAGGACTGGGTCACAAACATAAATATCCTTGTTGATAGTGTTTTACTGGTCAATAAATCCTTAAAAAGTCTTGTCACTAGGGGTCTTGTGACCTTCTGAACCATGCAGTGAAGATGTGAGCCAAATTCACCCTTCCTGCCTATGCACAGGATAGGAAAAATAAGCTGTATCATCTAAAAAACTCAGAGCTCCCCTCTCTAACTCATTCAAATCTCCTTCACAATTCCTCACCCATGAGTAGCAAACACTGCACCTGCTGTGTGAAGCTTGCCTGGGATTTGGATAGCTGCATCACAAGCTTGCAGCACTAAACCAGAGCCCGCCAGTTGAAGATTTCATCACAGAAGATCTAGAGGTAAATGTACCCTACTCCTCTAGAGAAGTACAGAAGATGGGTTCATGCCCATAAATGTGTTTCCCCATAAATTAGCAGCATCTAATCATTTAGGTCACACACCTCCAGCAGGCACATCTACAAATTGGCTACCTTTGCAAGCAATAATCAGACCTTTATCAGGTTATTACAGCGAAAGAAAAAAGGCAAAGGCAAGCAGGATGTGAGGTGAAGAACAAAATCAGAGCTGGGAACTACTTCTCCACAAATGATGCAATGATGCAGTGTTTTTTCTGCCCTCTCACAGATCTTTGCAGTAAGAGATTTAAGAGATTAAACAAACTTGTGACTTGGACTTCATCTGTGCAGAAAACAGTTCTTAAGTGTCAGAATTCTTACCCAAAAGGACAGGTGGAAAGCCTTAAACTAAATATACAGGTTCAATATGTATTAGGAGTTAGAGGAAAAGAAAGTCTCAGGCAATTTTTCCTATCACTGCAGAGCATTTGCTAATGCTGCTGCTCTGTGTATTCCAAGCCTGCAAGCATGGAAAGAGGCATTAACCACACATCATATCAGGCTGTCCTTGCACTCCTACACACAGTCACTTAGGGCTCTTTTCCTCCTTGGATGGAAATCCTCAAGTAATTTCTCCTCTGTCCTCCAGGCTGCTGGCTGGGCCCCAGAGAGTGCTGAGCTTTAAAGAGCACAGACTTCATATTTCCAGTCTCTGGCAGCACTTGTTTCTTTATTCCACAGAGGGATCTCTGTTTCCTTAAAAGCTGGCTTTGCTGATTCAGGCTTCCTCATCTCAGCAGATTTCAGTGCAGAGTTTGATCTATCAGCATCAAAGGCATCCCTCTGTTCAGAGCATGCCTCAGTGCTCAGACAATAAGCAGCAGAATAGTTTCAAACGAGGCTAGTGGTTCCCCTGGAGACCAAAGGCAATTAATAACATGTTTTTCTGCAAGGAGCAGAGCTAATGAAGCCTGATTTCCTGCACATCTGAGACATCCATCTTCTATGCTGTCTGTAAACTGTTAACCCAGTTACTACTGCAAATCGAGCTCCTTTGCCTCCAATCTCACCTGCTGATCCCACTTTTCCCAACTCCTCCTCTGTCATGACAAAGATCCACTTCCCTCTTTTTTCTAGCAGGACTCCCGAATGGTCCTCAGCTTCTTCTGTGCACCTTTACTTGCTCCCTCACTTGCCAGACACAGATGCAGTGTCCAGAGCCGTGTGGGTACTCAGACTGCTGGCAGGAAGAACAAGGAATGTTTCCACCTTCACCAAAGGCACACTACAGCACATGCCAAAACAGTGATTTTAATGAAAACCATTGGCACTTCACAGCTATGAGACCCCAGCTCGGGCAGAGCTGCCAACTTTGCTTGAAACAGGCCAATAAATACAGAAGTTATCAAGAAGTGTTGGATGAGTAGGACAGAAGAAAAAAGTGTGAGTGCAAAAATTTTTCTCTGAAAATCAAGAAGCCAAAAGAACAAAAAGTCTTTCAATAACTCAGCTGTGACCCTGACCCAGGCTCTGATATGAACTACTGCAGTTGTGCCACTGACCACCTCTATTTTTTCAAAGAAGTGAACACTAATTTTATTAGTGCATAGATCACAGTGGCCGAGTCCCACTTAAATAAACAATCTACACGATGAACATAAGTTGATCACACTAACAATAAAGAGATTCTAATTTAAGTAATTTCCTCTGCCTCAAGCATATGATTAAACTGGATTATTGCCTACCAAATGATCTAGAAGTGCACTTAGTCCAAGGAAGGCTCTGGGCAGAGCTGTGCAGCTGCCCAAGGGTCTCATCCTCTGGGCTCCTTGGGTGTTACTCCTGAACATAACACAGCCCTAGTGGCAGGAATATAAATGGGTAATTATTTTCATTTAGAGTTGCTAACCAAGATTTTTAAGCCAAATTCTGACCCAAACTACAAAGCACTGCTAGCTGGGATTTAGAACAAGCCATACAGATTGAAGTGCCCAGTGCCCGTGGGAGTGCTTAATGCCATTGCTACCCTCCATCCACAAGGTTAACAGGACTGCACCCTGTGCTCCTGTGAACAGTTCTGAGTGGGAGCTGAAGAGACCTTCAAAACAAGCCTTCAAGAAAAGAGGTTTTATTTAGCAAGTGGCAGCTCAGCCAAATGATGAGAAGCTGCCTACCTTCCATACAACAGCCTTCCTACAGGTCAGGGCACACTGGGATTGCTGCTGCTCGCAGTCATGACTGCAGGAACTCCTTGCAGTTTTCTTTCTTCTTGTTTTGCAATCCAACTCCATAGCTAAAAAGTATCAAAAGAGCAAAACATCACTGAGAGCATGATGGCAATAACTTTGAGATTCAGAGGAGCTTGACACTGTTCTTCTCCCCCTTACCCCCCAGTAGGTACAAACTGTCATGAGGATTTAAATCAGCTGTACCAACTCTATTCTGGAAATAAACAGAATAAATGCCCTTATTTTCTGCAACCCTTTCAGACACACAGCATTATTATTTAAACAGGACAGAGACTACCCTGTCAATTGCTGCTTTATGTGATCATTTGAAATTATGTAAATAGATGTTGCCATTCTGATCAGATAATTTAAACTTCTACATTTCATGTAAGCACAAGGGACTACAGAATTTTCTGAGGGGGGAAAACTTCTGGATTTTTGTTTTACTTTGGTCATACTCTAGCTTGACCTCTATCCGGTGCAAAATTGTGCTACATTATAGTCATTGGCTAGCAGTTTTTGTATTTGTAGAAAATAAATGTTTACAAGAGGAAAGAGATTATTTCATTTTCAAGACAGAGAGTTCCTGCAAAGGAATTTGTTAATACACCTGCAAAGCCAAGGAGAAATATTTCACAGCGGCACTGATGGAAAAGCTCTGACTGAGGATTTACAAACCATGTGTGAAACTATTTCAGACAGTTCTTAATCACTAGCTTAAAAATCAGCAGGCTCTCTGAATGTCACTGGTATCAAGGTGAATGTCACATACTGCAGAGGACTTTTTTTTTAATTGGCAATGCTTGAAATGGGTAGGACAGATTTTTTTAGGCTATCAGAAAGGTGCAGAAAATACAGAACTGATAGAGTGTCATGCTGCACTCACTGCAGCAGTACTCTGTCACAAAACATTTATTGAAACCCTAGAAAATGTGCAGAAAGTTTTGCTTTGACTTGGAGAAGGAGGGATATAAATGTCTCTTTGGATCACCCTTGGACTACACGTCATGCCTTCACTGCCATCCACACAGGAGAGCAGCAATAGCTGAAAGGAGAGGGGGAAACTGCTGTTGCTTTATCCTTTATTTTTCTTCTTCCTACTTAAAAAAAATATCTAAATACAGAAACCCCGTCATCTTTGATGATATCACTGTTATTACAAAGCAAAATGTGAAAGTGTTCCCTGAAGCACCAAAATGGGCATGATTCTTAGTAAATTGTTTCAGAGGAGACCAGAACAGTTTTTGGAAAGAGTAACTAGTTGTGCACACAATCATCTGCAACACATAGAGCATTAGGATATAATTTATGTTTATTAGTCTTTGTGGGGTGCAATAAATCATTGTTTTCATTTGTAGTGCATTATTACAGGAGTGATTTAACTGAGGAGATTCTTGCTCGTGGCCTACAGGAGTGAAAGGTTAATGGCATAATGAATTTCTATAAAACAAATAGTAGACTTTGGCCATCCTTCAGCCAGCAGGTGGTAAATTAGCAGGTAATAAAGTGTGTTTGCAATCTGCATCCACAGGCCAATAAATAATATGCAGGGGCTGGTTCTACCTGCTTTAGTTGACAGTGCATTACTGGGACTATATAGCTTCAGAGCATCTAAGAAAGGTACGGAGAGCAGGAGGGAGCTGATTTTGCAGTATCCTGACTTTTAGCACTGATATATATCAGATATTTCCAGAGAGGCATATCTAGAATATTATAGCAATGCTCATAAATTCCACATTGCGCTGTAATAAAACACGACTCCTACATGTGGCAAATCCACATTCCTGTGGTCCCTTCAGCTTGTGACATTTACTCTGCCATCCTATTAACTGCTGGCATTTCATTCTGGTAATGGAATAGCTGAGGGAAATAAAACCTCAATATGCAGTACCACTCCAAAGGCCAAAAAAAAAACTCCATCCAAAAATAATATGCTAGCTCTCACTATGCAAGCTAAACATATTATCAATATATTTCTATGAATGGGCATTAATTACCATTCAGTCAGCAAGGGTAAAGCAATATGTTGGTGCTCTCCTGCTACAAGAAATACATTGCAATGCATTTAAATCAAAGTATTATTAAAACAGGAGAGGATTTATTTTTTTTAGCTGGGATTGTATTCTTTGCCCTAACTGGTCTCAGCTTTCCCTTTTCTTGCCAGTATTAGAGGAAAGCAGATCCCCAGTCAATTCCTCGCTGTTGTTATGGATGGTTCTGTACTACACAAAATGTAGGACCTGTGTAAAGGGTATTGCAGTGAATCCCAAAGCTGAAAGTAAATTCAGCAGCTTTGTTAAAGTTTGGTTTTGTTCTATATTTCCCAAGGAAAGTATTTTCTGACAGGTAACCAGAGGTTTGGTGTAATATTTGAAATCCTTCTGCCCTGAAGAGAAAAAAAAAAAAAAAAGTAAGCCAAATGTATGAGGGTATTAGGATGTTGATCTCTGCTGCCTGAACAGATCATATGGGGATTTTTGAAAACCTCATTCCAAGCCCTGTGTACCTGCAATACAATCCACCCCAGAGACTTGCCTACAGTGCAAAATGAAACTGCTGAATTAAGCCAAGTGACACTAACCAAACAAGATCCAAGGTCTTCTCAGGGCCCCACTGGTCCCAAAATACAATTACTGTTTTCACTTGATGTTTTTTTCCTGAAAACTACCTATAGGGACCTGCACATCCATGCTTTCCTAGCCCATGGAAGTGGCAGAGGCTGCAGGGACAATGCTGGGGACACACAGGAAGAGCCCATGTCACTGCCAGCAACGGGACATCCCAAATTGTTCCCTGGAGTTTTCAGCAGAGACTGACACCAGGCATGAGTTAAGAGTACATTATAGTAATTGCAAAGTCTCCTCTTAAGCCTATATCTTTGTACTTAATTTTACTAATTTCAGTAACTAACTTTATTACTGTCAGGGCAGTTACTGCTGTACATAACTCTATGGATGTAAAGTCTCCTCTCTCCTGGAGACTTTATATCCCAATGATATTGTCATTTGGGAGCCGATTAAAAGAAACAAAACACCAAACAAAACATAGCAAAAAACTGTACCAGTCAGGTCCCAAGTATTTCTACCCTTCAAGAAAATTATTATTTTTTATATTATATTTTTAATAAAGTAAGTAGGGTAACCATATTTTTTTTAATTTAAAAAAAATCGTTACCCTACTTACTTTGGTACTTGAGTGAGGGTATGAAAAATGACCTCTCTTGAAGTGACAAAACATCACAAAAACAAATGATGCCACCAAAGTGATATTAATGTCATTAAATTGTTTTGATGAGAATAACAACTGCCCTGTGTGACAACTATAGACAGATCAAGGAATAGCACGAGTCAGTCTACACATTTTTTGCTTTCTTTTGATTTTAATTTGCTGTTCCTGTCACTCCAGCCTCAGTGTTAATGTTAAGCTTGTTCTTACAGCAGTTCAAAAGATAAAATGTCTTTATCCAGAATATGCAGTACCTCTAGGATGATTGTGCTTTTTGTAAAGCAGTATCTACCACATGAAGTTTGAAAGAATTCTTGTCTTGCACTCACTGGTCTTATGGTTGAAGGGTTGCCTCATTGTTTATGTACCCACATCAGTGGAATCAATAGTGGCTTTATATTCCTCGAGTATTTGACACTGAAATAGACAACATATGACTCAGAATGTGGGTTCAGGGCTTTTATCAGGTGATAAAAGGGGGCACTCAGGAGCCCTGCTGGACCGCAGGTGTAGCAACCAGCTCCACAAAATGCTCAACTCCTGTTCTGCCTCAAAAACATAGCACTGTTGTGACTGGTGTAAGAAATAGACAGGTAATAATAGATTGCAATATTATTTAATTTTTAACATTGCCTTTTCCACCAGTGCCACAAACAAACTTAGGTGAACATATTTGTTTCTATTTTGAAATGGTTTTAACAACCCCTGTATTTAGCTTGTGATTTTTTGCCACCTGCATGAGACAGTTTCCAACTTTCTTTAGGTAACCTACTATGGAGAATATGCTACAAAATATTAAACAGAACATACTGGCTATGGTATCACACAAATATCAGGATCATTATTCTGTGAGTCTGTTGGTTACAATTCTCAAGCCATGCTGCATAAGTGCACCATTCAGGCCGAAATAATTTTGTCAAGAGCAATAGAACCACAGCACATTTTGAAAGTGGGACTGACATCTTAAAAATCTATCACCAAGCTATTCAAACTGGAGCTGGGAGCTGAGGACAGGGAGCCATTCCGAGGCTGCTGGCTGGGAGCCCTGCCCTCAGACACATGCACATGGTGGTTGGACAAGGTTTCCCGAGTGCTCCCCTCCCGCAGCCCCATCTGCTGCCGTGGCACGGCGCCTGCTCGCCCAGGATGGAGCCAGTTTGCTCAGTGCCAAGCAAAATGAGTTTAGATGGGCAGTTTGCGAGCTGTGCCTCTTCTACACCAAGTCCCTCCTCTTAAGGGCACTGGTACACAAGTGCCAAACGCCACTTTACACTTGATGGCATCTGCTGGTGCCCACGTGCCAAGAGCACAGAACCTAAATGGGGATGGTAACGAAGAGGGGAATCTGTGCTTATGGCTTCCAGTGCTTAAACATCAAGCCATCAGGACAACAGGGTATCAAACAATGTTAAACTCAATCATAGCCTCAGAACAGCCTGTTAAAGGATAAATCACAACTGAGGATGAGATCAGGAAACAAGAAACCCATGATGGTTAGGAGGTCCAAAACATGGTTTTGCACCTACAAAAAGGACTATAAAGCACCCAAAACTTCACTACTGTTTTGTACATGCTCTCCAGTACATTTACAGGGGAAGAATTAAAAGTGTTCTGTTATAACCAAAATGCATTTAAATGCAAAGACACAAATAAAACCAAACACCAACCAACAAAAGTCTCACTAGAAATTCCTTACTCTGTCTTCCATTTGCCTGCATAGATGTTTATGCCCTACTTATCCTCTTAATGGCTGAACATGTTAAATAGGTGTTTATTCCAGACCTCATAAGCAGAAACAGATCACTTTGCTTTCCTTCTGAGACAGAAGATTGCAAATACTTGGAGACTCTCCTCAAAAGACAATAAGGGATAACTGATAGCTTTACCTGAAGCTTCCTCCTTGCCTGACCTCCCTTACCAATAAGCTTCTGGCACTCATTTTTTCCCCCCTCAGAGGCTATAAATCATAATGGGTTGTAATTAAATGTTATTTCTTTGTATGGCTTCTGCATCAAAAGGACGCTTCTGTTGCATTAGGAACTGTACACACATGGATGCTGAAAAATAGTTTCTCCCATAAAAAGCAAACAGGCCTGTCTAGACAGAGGTGTCCCAGGTGCTGCTCATCAGCTCCTTACTCTTCCTTCCTCACAGGGGAAAGAAGACTAAATGAGAAAAAGCTGTTGCCTGTAGCTTGCCTTAATAAAGAGGTCATGAATCCAGGGAATTCTCATGCTTGTATAAAGAGCAACACACAAAACTTTAATTATTACTCTCTAGACCAGCTAATGTTTTTTTAGTGCTTTGACTGGAATAAACAACAAACTCTCCCCTTTTCTTCTCCCTCTCTCTCCCCTTTTTGTCAACCTGTCCATATTGTATGACCCAGACAGTGAGGATGGCCATGCTGAGCCATGGCAAAGGTTCACCCAGTCCCTGTCTGTGTGCTCTAGCAATGACCCACAGGGTCTGCCTGAGTAAAAACACAGATCAAGGGGCTTCCTACGGGGATTATAAATCTAAATCTTTGTAAAGGAAGCTTCCCAATCTGACCACTCAGGAGGCACTCTGGCAGTCACACTCCCAACACCACTTTCCCTGCTGGCACCAGAGCCCCTTCACAGCAGTGGCCCAGGGACCCAACAGGGACCCTGCTTAACTCCCTGCACACCCCACTCACAGCCAGACCTGGTGTCTTTTAGCAGAGTCACAGACATCCCAGTCTTTAAAGTAATTAAATCTTGGTGCAATAACAAAATAACAGCCCGAGCTCATGCCTCTGAGGAGGGACCCAGAACAAAGCATCCCCTGGGCTTTTATTCCCTCACAGTCCAGGCAGGCACAAGTCTTGCTCTTCCCCCCAAGCCCTCAGCTCCTGCTGTGTCCCTGGGTGTCCCTCACCTGGCTGGGCCACATGTGTCTGTGCCCTTTGTTGGGCACAGGGTAAGAATATAAATGGGTAATTATTTTCATTTAGAGCCTTATATTTTAGAGCTTTCATATTCTCAATCTCAGGGTCCCACAGAGCTCCTCTGCAGCTGCACCCCAAGCTCCCTGAACCCAGTGTACTTCCCAACAACATCCAGAGCTTCAGCTCTTATGCTTCTTTCTGTTGCTGTTGTTAGGCTTTTCACTCTAATTTGTCTTTAGCGAAGGTTTTCACAAGTGATTTTTCTCAGCAACGTTTCTTTTTTAATAGAAGTCCGCTATTTTGGTAACACCTTGTGTTTCAAAAAGAAATCTTAATGAAATCTTTCCTTCTCCTCTAGCTGCCTGTAATATATTTAAAGTGTTTGCACCTTGTCAGAATGAAGTGTTAGCCCATTCATAGATCAGGCAGTGAGAGCACACAGAGCCAGCCAGAGCACATTACTCACCACTTTCTCACCTAAGCTGTCCATGAAAGCAGCACCTCAAGCAAGAGGAATGAGTCTTGTGGTGTCACTGCCAGGACACAGCAGGAGCATCCAGGGCTGAACTCAAACAGCCTCCCTGGCAGGGTAGGGGTGATCCCAGGTGGGGCTTGTCAGAGACATTTGGGTGCATTAGTGCCCCTCTTGCTTGGCTGCTCCCCACCTGCATTATTAGCCATGCATTCAGCTGAAATCTTTGTGTCACTTACCCAGATTTCTCTAACTTCACTGTCCTCAGCAAGAATTGTCCCAGGTGTTTTTCTTGTGCTGTAAATTATTCAATATATAAACACCTTTTGCATATCCAAGTCATTCCTCTGGCTCCCCACACAGCTCTCTTTTCACTCTGTAATTAGGTGATTTTTACCCTCTCAACCTCAGATACCCCATCCTATCTCCAAACCAGATTTGATCAAGCCAGTTTTAGACCTCTCTTCCATAACCACATCTCAGCTGAGTCAACTGCTATTCAATTCAATGGAAATATTAAACAAAGCCCGAGTGGTTTTACCAGGAACTGGATCAAATGTATGATCTTGTACCTGCTGAAACTCCTGTTCCAGCTAGCACATGTGTCGCCTCCTGGCAGCCCAGCCATACTTAAGGAACATTTAAATATCAGTATTATTTACTTCTAAGCAAGGTGTAGCAGTCCTATTGTGTTCAGAGTGACTTTAGCATATACTGAAATTTAAGGACAAGATGAAATATTTTCCTGAGGCAGTAATATATATTTTAACTGCCTTTAATTGCAAGACTTGGCAAATATGTCTTTCACACTCTACTATCTGTCACGTATGTTGGATTGCCAATAGCTACTAGCATTTTTCCACTTTCACTATGCTGCCATTTCAGCAGCACAGACCGTGCTGTTGTTTTTATTCTCCAAAACAGCCTGACTTTATGATTCTGTTCATTTCACACCTGGCAACACAGAAAATGCAGAGGTAATAGAGGGGAAATCCTTTAGCAATCAGGAAAATGACTAGAACTGCAGAGGAGATGTGTGTTATTTTCTCAAGCAGCAATAAAACGCGTGTGAATTTTCAAGGGAGCTACAAGTCATTGTTTGCTACAGTGACATGCCAGCAAATGCTCATGTTATCCTTTAATAATATGGAAGATAGCACTCATCATAGCCCTCCCAGAGCAAAATACCAGGGAGGCAGGTGTTGCAATACAAAGTAGTTCAATGTGAAATATGTATAACGCACTGTTGATGCTAGAAACAGATTTTCTGTAGCTGAATATAAACACAAAAGCTCACAAACATACACAGGCACACAAATGCCTGTTCCCCTATTGCTTAGAACAGTGAAAAGGCATGGAATGTTCTTTTACTTGAAGCACGATGGAAAGCTTAGGTTCTGAAAAATAAGTCAAAATTCCTGTCTGTGGTTTCAGGATGTTTTTATGGTCACAGTGTCTTGTAGTTTAATATTCTCTAGTGATGGCAGCTTTCTTGCTGAGACTGGAAAGATCACCTGCATGATTTCCTATAGGTATTGGTAGGAAAGAGCCTACTAAGCATTCAACATAGTCTTAATCTAAACAGTGGTTTCTGTAGTCATTTTTAATCAGCAACAGCAAAACCATCTACAGAGGGAATCACTTGTTATCATGAATCCAGACACAACCCATCATCCCCACATGTGGATGGCAGAGGTGAGGAACCAGAGCTTGGGTCAAGCTCAAGTTCCCTGGGCTGAATTTCTGCAAGGTATCCAGAAAACACATCTAAAAAATCCAGTGGGACAGAGGCCAGGTCTAGATAAATCCAGGAGTCCTTGTCTTAGTCATCTAGGTGAAGGAAAGAAGTAAAAAATTCCCCAGGACACAAGATAAAGAATAAAAGAGCAGAACTTCAACAGGGATTAGATCCAAGTCCTATGATGGACAAAACAAAGGAAACTCTTCTTCACAACTATTTCACATACTCCTGACTTACCTCAAATTCATTTTCTGAACTCTTCCCAAATAAATTCTTCTGCATGTTGCACCACAAAAATATGTTTTTAAAAATTCTTAGTGGTTTTATATAATTTATAGATGTTGCCATTTTAGTTATGAAATATAACTTTCTCTTCCAATGTTTCATTTAATGCTCCAATAAATATTGAGATCTCAATGAAGTAGTTCTTCTAGCCTACTACGTGCTGAAAAACTGTTTCACAGTACAGAAAGTGTCCCTGTAAAACATATAAAGGGATTAAAATGTAGATTAATTACTTAGTAAAGCATAAAATAATGAGCAAAAAAGATTAATAAAATTAAGCAGTAAACTGATTATACTTACATGAATATTTAATTTCTTTAATTCACATTTATGATATAAATTTAGTAACATGGAATAAATGCATTCCTAAAAGCTCCAAAATGGTCACATAACTGACATATGAAAGAATGTAAAACTTCTGTGAAAAAAAGGTATTATTTTAGAAAAATGTGTTATTTACTTTGTAAGGAATCATTACCCCATTGTTTCTAGTAAAGGCTTTTGTTTTAATAACATACCCTTCCAATAATATAATGTGCAAAAAAAAAAAAAAGCACATATTCTAATGACTTTATGCCTTATTTTTTCAGTGAAGGGCAAAGCCTGCAGGGGCCTTAGGGAAGGCAGGCAACAAATGTCATCTTTCTTTTCATATAATTGTATACCCATGTGCTTTATGTAATCAGAATGAATACTTCAATTTGTTACATATTTTGCTGGAGGAACAGAAGGCATATGGAAAAAAAAGCCCCAGGGGCAAATGATCTCACTCACCTGGAAAACAATGTGCGTGTTAATAGAGTAATCTGTTAATTAAAGATTCTAAGACGTCCACCAAAGCCGTTCATTTCTGAATTACCACTTCCTAGAGTTAAACAAGATCCCTGGTAAAAAGCAATTAGGAGCTCTATTTTTCCTGTGCCTCGGCCGTGGCTGAGCGCAATCAATCCGAGGAGCGTCCCCAGAGTTACCTCGGTGGCGGCAGATGGTGCGCGCCAGCCCGGAGAGCGCCGCGCTCCGCCAGCCAGAGCCACGGAACAATCGCAGCTCCCAGACACGGCGCTCCATCGAGTTATCTGCACGTTAAGCTCCTTACTGCCAGCAGAACACAAAACAGGGATGGCTGCAGAAGACAAAGAAAGACTCATTTATAAGACTTCCAGCATGGTCAATGTTTTTTTGTTTTTTTCTCAGGGTTGATCAAAATGTGAGTAGTGGTGCTTCAGCTCACTGTAGCAAATATGAGAACCTGGCCATAAAGATACCTGGGAATACCTTCAATTTCAACTTTGCAGCATCACCTTACAAAATTTAAGTAGGCTTTTTTTGGTTTTGTTTTTGGTTTTTTTCTTTCTTTAAAAAAATAAAAAACAAAAAAAGAATTACCGTTTTCCATGTTGAGAACCCAAATGTTAGGGTTCTGGATGCTGAGAATTTTAGACTTTCTGTGCTGATAGACTCTGACTCGCAGGACAGCACTGCATTTGACCTGAGGCCATGGAAAAGACTTCCAAAACTGATTGATAGCACTGGGACTACAGGTATGTAGTTGGTTAGAAGTTTGTAATATCACAGGGTGGAAAAATTAGAGTTTGGAGTTTTAGAATATAGTAATATATACTAAGTAAGATGGAGGTTTTAGGGCGGAAGCAGGTTGTTCTTCTTCACCTTCTTCTACCTTTTTCTTCATGGGTTTGGGTGGTATTTTGTTACATAGATAAGAAAAAATAAACATCTAAGCCTGAACGTGAAGAATTGTCTCAAGTGCCTTCAATCCCAACCTCGACAGAGGTAGAAAAAAGAAGCTGAAAACCTGCACCCAAATAACTCCAGTTTCGTATTAAAAAGAAACAAACACAAGTGACTACTGTGCACTTACTGCAGCAACATCAAACACAAGGTAAATAACCCACAGCTGTGTGTTATTCAGGAAAGCCCTGATTCCAAGGCTTTCCAAGGGCCTTTATAGGTTCCTATGGCAGAAGAGGGAAGAATTTTTCTGGTTGGAATGGTGGTGCTTGGCTTTCATTTCTACTGCTGCTGTTGGCTGTGCTCCCAGATTTTTCCCTATGTGTGGTACTGGGTTCTCCATCCTTCCTGAGGCAGGAAACCAAAAGGATGAAAGAAACTTTTATTGAAGACTGGCATTGGAACTAGGGGTTATTTTTAAAAGTGCACTTCCAGGTGTGAAATGTAGTGGGAAGACAGAGCTAATAGCTCAATGAGACACTGGGGAACTGCAAGGTACAGTTGTTTCTATTCTTAATGGAGGAATTTGGCCAAAGCTGTGGGCAGATTATATTTGCATTATAAGTAATCACAGCAGAGCTTCCTCTTGGCAAGTTGATAAGAAACATTTAAGATTCTAAAAGCTCTATTGTCTGGTTCCCCAGAAAAACTAGGAAATTCTGTACCAAAGACAACTCACAGTTTGTATTGTAATGAGTCTTGTGGATTTCTCAAACAAAAGCATCAATGCAGAACTATTCTTATTTATGGCTCATCTTGGCTATAAGCATGACTTATCACATGTGCACCCTCTTGCAACAAGGGCTGGTCTGTGCTTCTTCACCAAACTTTTAATAAAGGATTGTCCCTTTAAGTAAGCTTATACATTTACTGTTCTAAAATTTAAAAGCTGATGTTAAGAACAAGATGTTCTTTTTGCATTAATGTAAGATTTTCCACATATAAATGTATATTTATAAAAGCATAGCTGTCTTTAGTGATTAAATAATAAAATACTCATTTCTAGACATAAAAGCCCTAAATCTGACATTTTAAATGTTTGAATCAAATGCATGTTATGCACCAATCAGAGAATGTACTATGAATGTGTATACTCCTAAACACTAATCCACTGCAAAGTCATTTTGCTGTAGTAAGTATTTAAAAGCAGAGTAATTAAAGTTGACATGACAATAACATAGCAGGAAGGTTGGTACACTAAACCAGCAAGAAAGACAAGACAGCCCATGAACACATATGGTAAATAAGGGTATTCTACATGCCAGATAATCAGTGCTTCTGGAAAAAGTGACAAAAGGCTCAGCACCGCAGTAGCAAAATGCTAAATATGGGGAATAGATAGTTTATATCCTGGCTATTACCAGTAGAGAGGTTTTATTCTTCTGTGTTTGCCACGTGTCTTGAGAGCTCAGTGATTCTGGTATTTCCCCTTTCTTTATGTACTTACATTTACTTTTGGCACTTGTCTTGATTTCAGCCATTGGGAACTTTCAATATTGGCTCACTTTGCAGCTCTGAGAAGTGTGTTTCTTTACAGTGAAGAGGTTTCTTTTCCCTAAGCTTCCTGGGTGCTTTGTCATACCCTGCTTGACTTTAAAGAACAAAACCAATACTCTGTGAACACGACCAGCCTCATTTTTCTATTCCTACAGTCAGATGTGGAAGTGAGCCTAGAATTCCCCAAACCCACCACCATCTCTATATCAAAACTGACAGATATATTTTCCTTCCTTCCCTTCATCCTGCCTCAGCAGCCTCCCTAACGTCCATTTTGCTTCAGGCTGTGGCTGAACACAAACCCTTCACCTGTCCATCTCACAACCTCTTTCAACTTGGACAGTTTTTCTTAAGTCTGCAATGGCCAGAGAGAATGCATTTAGAGCATAACTGACACATCAAAATAACATGCTGAAGGTTTTCAAGTTTCTTTCCACGAGGCAGATCAACATGCAAGGAGGAAATTCCTTATTTTAACACCTTTCCCTGAATCATAAAATCACTGAGGTTGAAAAGGACCTCTAAGATGATTTTGTGCTCACCACGAAACCATGTCCCCAAGTGCCACATCCACACCCTGTTTTTGGGCACTTCCAAGTGAAGGGTCACCAGGGAGAGTGGAGTCCTGGAGAGGCTGTCCATGTTCACACAGATTCTGTCACTTCACTAGGAGAGGAACAAAGGGAAAGCTGCTCTAGGAAACAGAGGGGAGACAGAGTTATTGGATTTTCCAGTGACCTGCTCATTTCCCTGATGAAGAAACTGTGGGGCCTCTTGCTGCAGGGGCCTGCAGAGAATCCCACTGCAAACTGCCCACTCAGCAATCTCTGTCTTACACGTCTGTGCTGCACAGAAATATTTGCAACTTCAGGCAAAAGTCTAAGTGTGTTGGTTTTGTACTAAAATGAAAAGCCTGAATACAATTACATCTAGAAAACTGATGCATGTGCAAACTAAAACTAAAAAAAATAAAAATAATAATATGTTTCTGGGCTAAGATGAATCTGTTAATTCCAATTTCTTTGCCTAAACTGTTCATCAGTGGGAAATGCAACTAACATTAAATACATTTCCTTTTGTTTCTACACAGAAATATTTTTAAAGAGAAATCTGACTGAAATCCATGGAGCCTATTCCTCAAACTTAATCTGTGAGCAGGGTTTGGGAATATTTTTTAAGACTACAAACAAACTGTGTTCTTATAGCTGCTGGCAGAGCAGCCAGTAAATCAATGCCTGGCAAATCAATAAGATGATCTAATGGGACCAGGAGAACAACTTGAAACTTGAGATGTTGAACCAAAGTGAGAACAGTTCTGCCACTGTAACTGAACTGCATCTTAAATTACTTGAATGAACAAAAGTGTTTTGAAAACCTTTGACCCATTCAATTTGATAGAATACAATTTAACTGAAAAATAATCAATAAAACTAATAATTCCCCCAAACATCTAAAAGTGAAAAGGTTTCACTTGATGTAGTGAATAAATATGTAGCATAATTGTGGTTTTTTTTAAGAACAAATCAACCTTTGATGAAATCTAGAGAGATTAAAAAATGTCAGTTGCCAGAAATGAATTTAAACTATTACAAGCAAAGCAAAACAAAATGTTCTATGGTAACAGTGCACTGAGGGAAAGCAGGATTAAGTTACTGGTAAGAAGGAAAATTCTCACATTTTATGCCTTGCCATGTGTCTTTAGACACAGCCACCTGTCCTTCTCCTGCTTCAGAATTTTACAAGTGATTTTTGTAACAGTGATAAACAGAGTTGGGTAAAACCTTTCTTAATTTGGAAAATAATCTGGGATTTGAACGCCAATGACCAAACCTGAATTTTAGTTTTGATTTTTTTGTCCGTTGGCAGTCACAGGGCTTAATGGAGCTGCTGATTTATCCCTGCTCCACGGAGAAGATTCAGTTGTCCCTTGTGATCCCACTTTTGTTTGGGCTGATCTTTAGCAGTGCACCTTTAATGAAATCACCAGGATCAATGGTCTTCCATGCAACTGGGCAGCTCAGCCATGGCTCTGTCCACCTGAGTCCTGAAAACCTCTAAGCATGGATATTCTACCACCACTTTGAGTAATTTTTGTCATTATCACGTGAATGAAAAAAACCCCACACACCCACCCCCTTGCCATAAAACCCTTAAGGCAAACCAAAACCAGACACCCCAAACCTCCCCCCCACTTCTATGTAGAGCTTTAAGTTTCAACAGAAATTTTAATTTAAATGCTATCAATATATTTTTATCATTAGGATTAAAATTAATAGCAAATGTACTAAATAAAATATATATTTTAAATGACATAACATTTAAAAAATTGATTTAAGGATTTAATCTTCCCTCATTCATGTTTAATTAAGGCTTTAAATTATGCCACCCTGCAATGCTGAGCAATGTTTCTTTACATCACTGAGGAATGGTTTCACATCACTCCAAAGGTAAAAGCAACACAAGGGCAGTGTGGCTTTTCTCAAAAGTTTTGGAATGTTTGCATTGATTCATAGATATCCATATGATTCTTAATTATTTATATATATATATACATAAATATATATATAATGTGATAAATATTTACCAGTGTTTCCTACACATTCTAAAACCCACCAGAACTGTTTCATCAATGACAAACTCTAACAGTTTATACTGAACCAGTATTAGCCACAGTACAATTCACATCACCATATATGTAATGATCTGTCTTTTCAACCAACAGAAAAAGGTCTTGTCTATATTATTACTGGCAGGACTCTCCTGTCAAATAATGTAGTATAAAGTGAGACATAACTACAAGTGCCTGAAATCAGTCATCCTGGTTAGCTCTGTTATTCTTCATAATTGGAAAATGCAGCATTATACTACCTGGATGCTGTTATATTAAGAAAAAAGTCAGGCATACGAGTGCAATTTCCTTTGGAACATTTAATATATATATATATTTAGGCAGCTGTGCTGATTTTAGTTCTAAGTATTTGCAATTTGGTTTTTTTTAAATGATGATTCACTGACTGAAAGTGATGTGAAAATGTGTATCTAAATACAAACCCACACATGTATTTTATCCTCTTTAACATTCCATTGTCACTACAAAATTCAAAGAGTAGATAGAGCCCTGTCAGACAGGTGACCAGATATGTAGACAGAAGTGTCAGTGTAATGTGATATACAGACAATAAGGCATTTACTACAGACACCCATCACTGGCTGCATTGACAGTGAACAGCACCACAATTCAAAAGCAGCTTCCTTAAATTCATGAGACAATTTAGAATAAACAACTACTTTGATAAGACAGAATGTTTGCACTGTCACCCCAAATATCTAGGAAGAAACACAAGAAAAATTACACAAAATGTTCTTTACTCATATGTAAAATGTATTTACCTGAACTAGCTC